ATTGACCTCGCAATCACTCATCAGCTTAAAATTATTGTAAACTTACAAATTATCTTTGATGTCGATAATTTCGTAGTTTATACCATCTTTACTTCAAAAGTAAAATCATCCTATATTTATATTTTACACACAAAAAGTGTTACTTCTTAACAATTACTTTTAAATCAATTAAATAAATTGTAACTGAGTGATGAAAAAAATTACAATGAATACAGTGAACTTTGGCGTGGGAATTCTTCAATTTATTGTCAGCACAAGAACTTTAGAAATGTGTTTATCAATTTTACCATTAAAAAAAGGTTCGTGTCTATATAAATAACATTAATATAATTTTTTTGAATAAAGGTGGATTATTTTCAGAGATTTATTGACAAATAATCGATACAGATGAAATATTTTTAGATTTTCTACCGCAAGGCTTAGCATAATATCATATATATTTATTTTCGTTGCATTGTACCTGTGTCCCTTCAACAACAAAAACAGTCATTCATCTGTATACCCAATGTACACCTTTCAAAATTTACTCCAAGATCCTTTTTTCGATAATTTTTTTGGTATCCTAATTTCCTACAGTTTTAGAGTCTTATAAAGATAAAGATAGTTCAATATGTTGTTGTTGATAAAATAAATGATAATATCTTTTTCCTTGCGACAAGAATTTTTATTGCACTGTACATTAATTTTCTTATTTGAAAACACAAGTATCCATGCTATAATATTTATTTTTAATTGATTGGATTTTTAATTAATTTTTTTTTAAAATCAATTTTAAGTAAAACCCTTTAAAAAAAAGATTAAACTTTTGACTTGTATTCGTTCCTGGACTATATTACTAACCAACAGACAATTGAGGTCATGCTATAAAGAATTAAAATAAACATAAAAACAAAATGAAAGTAGAACAAAGACAATATATTAATACAGAAAGAGAGGGAGAAAGAAATCTTGAGTCTCAAGAAGTATTATAAGAAATGATTGTAGATCGCGGAGGAGAGAACGTGAACTAATGAAATCGATGGAACCAATCCGCTTCTCGCAGTTTATTCGCAACAGCCAATCGCATCAAATCACTTCTCCTTTTTGCCAGTAGCCTAAGTAACATCAGAGATTGCCGACAACATAAAAAGTATTACTATAATACAATTTTACTTGAACAGACTTTTTGAAAATTATACAAAAAATAATATAAATGATTTTCCACTAAAATTTCATTATTCTTGAACCATCACGACATGAATGACATGTTGTGTCTATGATAAAAAATAATTAATAATAAAAATGAGAGGTATTTATGATTGATTTCAAATTCAGATATTTTTTTACAATAACTGCAGCTTCCTCGATTGTGCTTCCTGAGACGAACGAGTTGCCAAGGTGGACGGGGTGACGGGGACACCGTCCGTCGACTCTTGAGTGGGAGAATGTTAGAGTCCGAAGTAATGGAAGCTCGAGTTAATATTGTATAGCATTACCCAGCGAACTTTCCGCGGTGAACATTGCTATATTGGTTTCACAAGCCGAGGTCTAACGCCATGAACTCCAACCACTATCATACAAAATTGGCTGTTCTTTTTCGTGGTCTTGTTGTTGACCTGTTATGAAACAACGTCAATGAAAATCTCCAGTAAATACAGTTTTATCATTCCCTATGGAATCATTACTTTGTCTCATTTTATTCTATTTCATGTGTAGATTAAAACCTCTGGTGAGGATATCAATATTAGTTGATATGATTCATGATTTATTTTATTTCATAGTAAAAGGAATTTTTATTAAATTTATTGCAGTTTTATTTAGTTAAATATTTTTTCTAGGATATTAAATGTTTAGTTGAATATTCTTCAATATAGATTTAATTAGGTTCATTTAAAATTTCAATAAAGAGAACGAGTTCATCAACAGCTTCAACAATCATCATTTTAGCCAAAAATGACTTAAATGCAAATGAAATATTGCTAAATTCAGAGCGATTACGTACAAATGTAAAATTTTGTATTTAATTACGTGAATTCTGTGGCTTGAATATATACGGTAAGGTTAGTAATGCAAAATGATTCTGGCAGTAATAAAGTGTGAATGACTTTGCTGGCAAATTAACGTCTCTTAGCTGAGTTTTGCACGTAATGCGGTAGATGTTGCACAATTGAAAGTTGTCATTATTTGTATCAAAGTAAATTTTATTATTTTCAAAACAGTCAAATGTTTATAATTATTTTAGGGAATAATTATAATAAATAGGTCATTTAACAGATAATTGAAATTATTAAATAAAAAAATGACTGAAAATAAATATTTGTGAATATTTAATTTTATTTGGGAATAATTAAAGCAAAATAATTTTTTCACGAATTGATGTACGATGTCGATTAACTTTTTGTTTTCTAAAACAATAATTGTATTGCACATTTTGTACAATTCTATATCCCCGATGACGATGTCTCGACAGATGCAATATGGCAATTACCGTTCCCTAAGCGAATGCTGTGTGACGGCACAATGAAAATTGTCATTACGAGGACTGCACGACAATTATCACGGCGTTTACAATCGCGATTCGCAAGCGTCTAGAAACGGTCTGGGATTACTCAACAAATCGTCTTGTAACTTTTAACTACCAGTTTGGATGACTATGTTAGTCTTTTTTCTTCTTTTATATCCTATCTTTTTTCTATTTTTATGTTCTATTGTCATTTATTTTTCTCCATCCATGGAAACAGTTTAGAGTTAGATTCTATTTTACATTGTTATCTATTGCAAAATTGAGGTAAACTTAGATTAAGAAAAATATTTCGCTAAGCTACGTAAATACGTTCACTGTTTTAATTTAATTCAATTTACAATTATCTTGAAAGAATAGTAAATTAAAAATTATTTTTTTTTAATAACAAATTATTTTGCATTATAAAAAATTAAATTTTATTTTTTTAATTTATTTTGAACGAGTTCAACATTGATACGATTTAAAAGATCACATGAAGTTGAATGGCAATACATTAAACATTGCAATTAATTTATAATGACTATGAATTAAATAATAAACAAAATATTTTAATAAATTTTATTGATTAAGATTTTTTAATAATTAAATATTAATATTGGCACAGAATTTTTATGGGAGCATTATAAAACGTTATTCAAGATAACATAAAAAAGAATTCATGAGATTGTTAAGCAATCAATATTGAAGAAACAAACAAAAGTTAATTTTATGATAAAAATGAAAATAACAGACAAATTGTGTTCAGATTTAAAATGATGCTTAACAGTTTGTGATCCATAATCGTGGGCCAAATGAAATTCACGGCTAATGCTCATGTTGGAATTTAAATCTCTTTACTCGGAAGTTAGTTGAACGGCATTTGAGAGTATAGAGTTGAAAAGAGAGAGGAGAGAATGGAAATGAGAGAATACACGTAGACACTGTGCATCGGTCCATCCGCGCAATAAACTACAATCACAAATTACGGAGTCAAATAGTTTCAGCGTTTTCGCGCGGAATGTCGCAATTTCATGAGGGAGGCAGGTTGGTTGGTTGGTTGAACGTGGGATGAGTCGGTGGAGCGAGAAGGAGAGTTGAGGGAGGGAGGGAGGAAGGGGTAAGAGTATTACAGAGAAACATCTTCCATGCAAGGGAAGAACTAAAGGTGGAATAGGATGCGGGGTTAGAGGGTAAAAAGGGTAGGAGCGCTAATGAACTTACAATAATTGCCAGCCATTGATCTATGAGCTGAAGAGTTGTACTCGCTGCTATACCATTACCAAAGTGTAACCCCTCACACTACCACTGCTAGCCTTCTCCCTTAAGCTTACTCTACATTTCCTGCGACTTCACCAGCAGTCGACCTCGCAGTCTAATGTACCGCGAGTACCGAGGGTTCTACAGGATACATTGCGTCGGCATTAAACTCATTTTATATAGCTCATATAGTTGCTATATCCTCTATCTCTCTCTATTACCCTTATTTGCCATCACACCAATACAAATACCAAGTTATTTCATTGAAAGCAACAAATACATTTTATTGGTGATTACTATCACTTTCATTATTTGTCTCCAAAAATTTATCTATTCAATTCAAGACAACGACAACAATTAATGCAATGACTAATTTTGTTATTTATCAATTACCAGTGACTTATTAGAGGAAAAAAGTTAAAACAAAGAAGTAGACTAAAAAGAGATTATGAATAATAAGTGTCATAATACACAGTTGGGATGGCTATTAGTGGATAATTAGAAACAGATGTTCAACGAATCTTTTAACATAAAGCATCAAGTTTAAATGATAAAATATTGTAATTTAACTTTTTTTTTTAAACAGCTAGTAATCTTTTAACATTAAGTAAACTGATAATTTATGGAAAAATTTATTATTCCATTGAATTGAAATAAGTAAAATATTATTTCTTTCTCAGGATATACCAATTATGATGATGTAAATAATAATTATTGAATAAAAAATAATGTACACTCTATTACGAATATGGAAATCCTATTGAATCTCTTGAAACAGGTAGTTTCCACCTGTTCCATGAGAATTAATCGTTTTAGGATTATGGCAGCTGTTATTATTGGAATTAGAGTGGCTGTATTCTATAATCGAATTAGTAGCTCAGTATCAGCACCCTGTTGCACAGTTGGAATCGTTAAATTGATTACAAAATTATCTTATATTCAAATTGTTGTAGTAATTTAAATTCATTTATCTATAAATATATATATATATATATATATATATGTATATGTAAATGTGTATTTTTAAAATAAAAAAAAACTTGATGTATGATTGATGATTATAAGGAATGAAAATATACTAATAATATATTAAATAAAAAATTTATTGCAAGACGTACAGCTGCAATACATATTTGTCAGTTAAATGCTGTGTAACCAGTCATCCATGACGATAGTTTAGACACTTGAAAATATACGGTATTGTATTGTATGAGAATTTGTAGATGGTGTTTGGAATAAATGCCAATGAAACTTGTAAGAAATGGAAAGGAAAGCACGAAAAGGAAATAAAAAGACGCAGATGTCAGTAAAATTCTGTTTGAGAAATCACTCAAGCGATGAAACATGGGTAGATGAACAAGGTAACTCACTTTAAGTGTCTTCCGTTATTACTACACTTAACTTACAAATTTAAGTCAAACATACTCTTTATACGAAAATGACTCTTCTCTAAGATAGACAATAACAAATATCATCAAATGCTGTATTTAATCATAAATTAATGCCCCAATTGTGTTTCTGTACTTCTTAGTATAATTACTCACCAAGATCTATTTACAGTGAACATTTTTAAACAATTTTTAATTTCATAAAAAAATATTAATTGTTGAGAAATAAGTTTTATTTTCATGAAATAAAAATTCGTAGCTATCAATTAATTGGCTGCTATTTAAATAAATTATTTTTAATAATTAAATTGATTCTTGAATGTCTAGAAACTTTCAATAAAATTATTTTTACGTGAAAATTAACTTACTTTATTCTCATCATGCCTTTTAGATCGCTTTACAAATTTACTTACTAACGAGTAATACTTAGTAACCCATCATTAATTTTCAATTAAGAGATAGTAAAATTTCAATAATGGTTATTAAAATGCGGATGTTACAAAACTTATTTTATAAAAAGGGACCATGTTTGCTATGAAATCATTTTTATATTTCAGCATTCTAGAATTATTAGGGAAAATTAAAAGATTTTCTATTCAATCATCTACGTATTGATAATAATAATAAAGTATATTTAATAATTGATTGAAAATATTTAATCCTTGAAATAATATTTCGATGGAATATTTTTTTTAGTTACGAAAAAAATTCAATTGCTTTTATTTCAGAGGTCGAGAAAAGACGCCTGAGGTGTCGTCGAGAATTTGCAAATGTTCACACGAGAGAACGTATTTCCGTAGTTTGTGTGGTTCTGGCTTTAGCAAACGGACCGGTCAGTCCGTTAGTGTTTATCTTGTGAATACCAAACCTACGCTTGGCATTGTATAATAATTTACTTACCGATGTTATAATTACAACTTCATAGCGCAAGTAGTCCCACTCGTCCTGACTTCATAGCTGCGTGCATACCAGTTACGTTGGTTTCTAACGCTATTTTCTCAACTATATATGAAGATTGCTCTGGCTATACTGACTTTATACGGCACAACGTCGTATGATGTTGATTCAGGCTGGCATAATATTCAATTACAGCTCATTCAATATTAAATCTTGAAGCTAAAACATACAATACAGATTTTATATTATTTTTATTTTTTTAAAAACATTCTTTTTCACCTTAACTATTTTTCAATGATGTTTCAATGGAAATTGTTTCACTGTATTTGATTTGATTACTCCATTTATTGAAATTTGTCATTTTTTTATCTATTATAATTTTCTTTTCATAACGAATTACTATTATTATAAATAATATACAAGTTTTCAATCATATCAAATTATTTATAACAATATTTTATTATTTTTAAACATTCTAACATACTTTTAAATGTCTCTAAAAGTAAAGATACGATAAAAATATGAATTTTAAAAATTAACCCCATTATTACGACTTTCTAACTGGAAGTTAATGATATCAATAAATTTGAAATAATTAAATAAATATTTATCTATTTATCAGAAGCTTTATCATAGTCTGAGTGAATAAATGATGAAGTAATTGAAGGGTTTGAGGATGAGTGTTAAAATATCTAGTTTTTGCTAGCTATGACTAGCCATATTCCATCATTGAATTGTCCCTTCGCTTTTGACGCCTGCCACTACTGGTTGAAATTTATTAGAAGCGAGTCGATAAACAAAGGAACGCTTACGACTATGTAATATTGATTAATGGGAGGTTAAGGAAGCGTACAGGCGTTTAGACAAAGTTCTCCAAAAGCATCCCCTTCCAGTGCTAACATAAGAGAAGAGAAGAGGCTGAAACTGTGTGTGTCAAGCGATTATCGAATTTCCTCCCCATAACAATGAGGTCCTATTAACTCCCTACTTCTCGACGGTTCACCCAATATAGGTCTTACCTTCCATCTCACTTTCCTCAGCTTGCCTCGTTACCTTTTGTATACCATAGATTCAGATTCAACGGTTTATATCAGAAAACAAAATTGCAATAAATTATGTTACCTTAATAATATCAAATTCACTTAGGACCTAATTGTTTACCTCATCAATATTTCATTTAATTATTTTCATTAACTCACATTCATTATGATTGATAAAAATTTCATTACCAAGTAAATTACAAACATCTGATGCTTATTATTATTTAAATATATTTCAAATAAATTAAATTTAATCAACAACTTTAGCTAAAAAAAGATATTTGATGAAAAAAAATCACTCTTTTTTGTCTTACAAGTATACAAACGATTGTTTGCTAGACAAGAGTATACACACTTGGCCAGTATACACTTGACGTGCTATGTAACGTACTTTGATATTGTTGATGTTATAAGATCTTCTCATCCAGCTTCTTCTTCTACATATTTTTTTTTCTTTTCGGCTTCATTGTCTCTTATTCGTAGAATCTACTAGTCTAACTCACTTACACTTTTCATCTTGTTTTCTACAACCTCTGACTATATTCAGACGTTAATTAGTTGCATTTTTCTTCGAGCATTTTGTAGTTTCTTATGCTGTTTATATCATTATTTTGACATCTAAAATATCATATGATGTATTGTTGAGATGGAATATTTTTAAATCATAAAAAATAACTAGGAAACATCATTCGAGCAGATTCTTAGATACTAATTGAAAAATAGATATAAGTTTGAAGATAAAAAATAAACATGGTAAATATTTTGGTATGACCGAGTCTCATTAGTGTGGTTTGTTATCATTTGTATTGTACTCAAGTTGAAACAAAAAAAAAACATAATATAAGAATGCCTCAGGTGTCACGGATTATTCTACTGATTCTTACACCCTTGCCCTTTAGATAAGGCTACTTGTCCTCATTTTTGGTTTCCTTTTAAGCATGTTTCTTAGCAGCATACAGAACATTGTTAAAAATAAGCATACTTCAAATGACATATGTAAGTGGCGGCATACGTCAAGTTGTAGAAATAAAATTCAAATTTGTCTTTTATTCCTCAGTATAATTACTTTCAAATTAATCACAATTGATATATTTTTAGAGTTGAATTTTGGTGAATATTTGAATGAAAGGTTTCTGTAGAAAGAAAAAAGAGTAAGTGATAATTTATTTAAAGATGTATAGTGAAGATGACAAGAGCCATAGATCATAACAATAAGTATTGACAATGACATTTCTCAAAGTTGGACTTGGTTATTTGAATGAAAGATCGGATGAGAGCTTGCGTCGTCTGTCAACGACAGACAGAATTCTACACCCTCAATTGCAAAGACCCACTCTTGAATTCTCCGTGTGTCGAGACTACGTTAAGGCTGCGACTGGTGACTGGGATGGATAGGTGAATTGAAGAAGCAAATGGTAGAAGAGGAGTGAGGGAAAGTCACGTTGTAGAATATGAAACAATCGCTTCATTGGAAAGTCAAGAATCCTCTTGAGCTCGTCGGCGTTTGACTTGCCATTAGGAGCGTCAGTTTTAATTGTGCCTGAGCTCTCATCTTCGTCATCTTCATCGTTGTCTATCTTCTGCAGTCTACACTGAATCTCAGGTGAAGTGTATCGCCTGCCTTTCTCCACACGCGTATGCCTACGCCTACATCAACCTTACCCCTCTGCTGATGCCCTTTAGCGATGTCTCATTAGTTGCAGTACTGCAGCGGATGAGTACACCCCTTTCTGCCTCCCTTTTCAAGCGTCTGACGACGTTGGACTAGAGGAAACTCGCTCTCTACCCCAACACTTGACAGTCACGTCTTTATCCATGGCCACTTATATGCTCCTGTTGTCTCAATGATGTCATCATTGATTTTTTATTGCAAATTATTCATATTCACAACATGGATTGTTATCATATATTGTATAAATCCAACATCCTCTATTATTGTTGTACTTTTTATCCAGGTTTCTATAATGAGCTTTACTTTAAAACAGTAGGCTTCCTCAACATTGTATTGCTTAATCGCACAATTATTATATAATGACCTCTCATGATATCACGAGATGGAATGACTTGTTTTTTTCTTGAAACAGTCACCGATAGACGATCGGCGGGGAGTAAGGACGGGTTGGAATACACATGCTAGATAGTTGCTTCAGGCGGAGCTTGATTATTTTCCGCTAGCTCGTTCATTCATTCAGGTGAAGCGTAGACTGGGACGTTAGAGGGATGGGGGTTCAATTGGAAACAGCAATCACTGCTCGCCTGTATTTTGTTCTCTCCGTAGCAGCGAACTCCAATAATAAGCTTTCTCCTATATTGCCTCTTCAGTCCCCTCTTACCACCCATCCTACTCAGCTTGCCGCTGTCTGAAAACCCTCTGTCCCCTGCCTCCCGAAAGTATCGTACTCGAGCAATGTTTACTTTCTCTCTCTCTCAACCCTTATTAATCCTAGACATCTTTCTCCCTCACTTTTCTTTCGCCTTCTCTCTTCCCTTTTCACTTACTCATCTTTCGTTCCTTCATCTTGCTTATTTTTTTCTCATCCTAAAGTATCATGATCTCTTTTACTTGGAGGCAAAGCACTTGCTGGTAAACATTTGATCATTTAAAATATCAATAAATATATATACTAATTCACATTTGGAGTTGAAATAATTATTATCATTTTTTATATTAGCTTGGATTGGATTTAGAAAAGTCGAATATTTGGACGATACCTTTGGGACTGATAAAATAAAACGTTCCATTATCACTGAAACCAAAGTTCTTACTCCGACACCTTGTTAAATTAATGTCCTTCGTGCCAGCCAACAATAAACGTGTTTTCCGTGCTCTTTGTCTTTAGATTTAAAGCAGTATTTTTTTTTCTGTTAAATATATAGGCTAATTCCGTAGAAGATGGTCATAGTTTTATTGTAGATAATTTTCATTTTAATTAATAATTAATGAATCCGATATACAGTATACAATATTAAGTCACGAAAACTATTCACTTTTAATCTTAAATTTTTTTTTCCATTCCAAACAATTGATTGTGCTGTCAGATAATTTTTATATATTATAACGTCATAAATTAAAAGTATTATTTTAAAAATATTATCTTTAAAATTTCTTCTCCTACATTATTTGTTATTTATGAATATTTTACTACTGAATTCGGTTATATTAAGTTCTGTAATTAAATATATAAACAAATAGTTGAAGTTATAAAGTAAACATGATAATAAACAAATAGGTTTGTTATCTAATTCCATTAATATAAACGGAAAAAATTTATAAAATTCAATGATCGTTGACATCATGGCAAATTGACTGTAGTCATATATATCGTAACATACTACTTCACTACTATTCCAAACCACGGGTAGAATTTTCAGCGAGTCAGTGCACTGCTGTAATTACACGAGTGCCAACTCTCCTCTAACCCTTTCTCTGCAAACGACGCATAAATACATCGATTCAATTCCGTTTCAGCGGTAGAGTCGAGTGGACAAACTCCGATACTCACTTCCCTTCAGCCACACACGTGTATATACGCAAGGGATGAGTAAGCGAAGCCCTTCTATAAAAATTTATCGACTGGTAAATTGTTTCACGTCGCGCGGTTCGGTGCATACACATTTTCCTGTATACAAATAAATGAACAAATGTTAACCTTACGTAGAATGTCTCATACGAATGTTATAAATGAGAAACTGTAAAAGAGAAGTATGATGAAGATGAGTCTACACTTGATCAAATTACTAATATCTCTTTTAATTCGTTTATTACGACTTCTTTAAATCTTCATTTGAACATGACTAATTTATAATTAACTTTAAATAATTATTATTAAAACAAAAATTATGTTACGTTTATTGGAATGATTTAATTTATTTCTGTCATTTTTTGAATAATTAT